AAGAGCAGGCCGGTCCCAGCTAAACTTCTCTCAGCTTTGATCCAAGCGACTGAATCGCGTTTTAGATTTCAGGTCTTCAGACAGAAATGTGAAGCATATAAAGACTTTCCATGCATGTAAAACAAAACGTCGTCTCTGTCTGTGTGTCAGAGGGAGAAGACGAGGATCTTGTTCCTTTACAACCTGCACATTCACGGCCGGATTTCCAGCAGCGGCAGGAAACGCATCATCAGCCGTGGACAGAGGACGGTGAGTGGCTTCCTGCCTGTAGAACCACGTTTCACGGAGGTCTGCTCTCAGAGGTGTTTTTCACTGGGACATAAAACATCAGTCAAATCTGATTCGACACATTGCTTAAACGTTACCGATTTTTGACTCAACATAAAGTTTTAAAAATGTTTTCTTGTCCTGGAGTTTCACCTCTGCAGCTGCAAAGTTCTCACACAGACTGCAGTTCTGGATTCTTTGTGCTACGTCTCCGTGTGTTCACGTCTCCTCTGCTGCCTTCAGGTGTTCCAGCGCCTGCTCAGGTGGGGGCACCGCCTTTGCTGGCATCATCACGGAGAGGAAGCGTCCAGCTCCGAGAAGACGCACTACGCCAGCGGTTAGAGGAGAGAGAGGAAGCTCCACCTGGATGAAGAAGTCGTCCAGTTTTTTGTGGCAGACTCGAGCTTCAGGCAATAAAAACACATTCAGTTCAAACTGGACTGAAGCTTGTTTAGTGTGAGAGTGGATTTGACTCTGTGAGAGGTTTCTCTGAGCTGCATTTATTGCAAACTTTATTTTTCTGCATCAGCCTTGAATAGCTGCATCCTGCTACCGTGGTAACCCACTGCTGAATGTATCCGTCTCCCATTAAACCCTGTGAAACCATCAGTGTGGTCAAACTGAGCCGACGGAACAATCAGTCATTAACTAAACTGTACAGTCAGTACATTTGATATACAGCACTGTGTGTGATCACATGATCCGATTACTCGCCGTATGTACAGAGGAGTTATGTAAGCAGCTGATCCTCTGCAGCGGCAGCAGCACGTGCCGCGTTCGCTCAGATTCAATCTGACTCTGGATCAGTTTACAGCGGTGCACCTCTGAGGCGCTCCCTGAACTGTTTCTGACCCCAGTGACTCATAATCCTCCTGAACACACTAATTATTCGGCTCCATGTGGACCACAGGAACACCAGTAACGCTGCTTTTAAACTCACATTAGTCCTTCAAACAGACATGGCTGTCATGTTCTCTTTTTCATGAAGCAGATTAGAAAAGAAAATAAGAAAGAGATAGCATCTTTCCTCTCTCCTCTGGCTGCAGCAAGTAAAACAAAAAGAGTCATTTCAGTTACCTGAAAGAGTAAACTAGACAAACGCAAACATGTCTGTGAGCTTAAGAGTCTTTGGTTTTTTGTTCTGGTGTCTGTAGGTAGCATCAACCTGCCGAGAACTGCAGATGAAACCAGTCTTCTCCTGTAGTTTAAACAGAGAGCAGACTCTCAGCCACCTCCTCTGACTCCTACGGGGTAATGCTCATGTTTGCATTAAACGATAAAGCACCTCGAGGCAACTGTTGTTGCTCCTCAGGTCAGCCAACATGCCCCAGGCATGTAGGAGACATCCAGGAGGTATGCTACAAGATGCTGAACCACACCAACAGGCTCAACACCACCACACCCTTCTATGAAGCTCCTTTGGTTGGAGGGATGCTTAAAACAAAACAAAAGAATTAAAATTAAAGCAAAATAAATCTCTGTGATATTGTGAAAGCTCCGACATATTTCCACACTGTTGGAGGACTCTAATATGTTTGCATGTCTTTGCTTGAATGGTTAATAACACAGCCTGGTTCAACCTGTGGACGTCACATCAAACAGGTGACAGGAAGTGTTCAAATCCACTGAAGAGTTATCATCTGTGTGTTGGTGTGTCTTTATTTTATTTTTTAACTTTTTATGCATTTTTGGGAGGTTTATTTTTCACCGTCTTACTTTACTGCCTGCCTTCGTTCCCACCAGAGATGGGCAGTAACGCGTGTAACACCTTACTGTAATCTGATTACTTTTTTCAAGTAACGAGTAAAGTAATGGATTACTATTGCAAAAATGGTAATTAGATTACCGTTACTTTCCCGTAGGAACGCTGCATTACTGCGTTACTAAAACCGTGATTTTTTTGCGAGTGTCTCATGACAGTGACGTAAGCGAGTGCGACATTCGTGACAACAGCTGTGTGCAGATCAACAGTGGATCACATATCGAGTGCAGAGAGAGTATGAGCGTGCAGCGTTTAAAGCGTGGAAGTACTGACCTTACTTTGAGTTTGATTCCATAAAAAGTGACAAAAACATCAGTGTCCGCTGTGCGTGGGAAGAAAACTTCTTTTTACAGCGAAAAAACCCCTAAACTTCCAACAAGCACCGAGTAGCTACGACGTAATGGGAAACTCACAGAGAAACTCGCGGATTCTTCCACTGACCGCGGCACACCTGCACCAGGGTAACCCTCCGCCTACCCCACTCCTGCTTTACAGGTGAAAATAGAGCAACAGGACCGCTGAGTCTTTGACTTTATTTATTTTCTGCTGTGTTTTACTTGCATCTATTTGAAAGACTGAGTGTAAAAATGTAGAATTGGGCTGAAAGATCTATCGCTTTATCACCTATTCAGGTTGTAAATCGTGTTTTTAAAAATTAACTAAGTAACTAAGTGATTAATTACTTTTGAAAATAAGTAATCAGTAAAGTAACGGGATTACTTTTTTGGGGAAGTATTTTATTATTTATTTTATTTTATCTTGCTCATTAAATAATTTCCCCCAGGGATCAATAAAGTATTCTGATTCTGATTCTGATTCTGAAAAAGGTAAAAAAAAAATTAAAATAATTTTCATTATTTCAATTATTTAATCTGAATCTGTTTATTTAAAAAAGGCAATAAATAAAAGTACAAACCCAGCACTTTTCCAGTTAATGCTAAATCATTTTCTCTCCAATTTTGGCACAAAAATGCAGGGGAAAAAAGAATATTGTGAATTTAATAAATTTGAATGTTAAGCATTTGATAAGAAATACTACAATTTCCTCATCAAAAGCTAAATCGTTTATAAAACAGCTAGCATTTTCTAGTAATTATAATAATAATCTTTAAAATAGCTGCAACACGTACATAAAGGTTTACGCTGTTTTATTTTGAAGGGTCTCTCGCTGTGTTTCCTGTCTCCTCGGCCAGCCTGCTGACGTCACCGTCGGTCCCAGTATAAACACGGACGGTCCGGAGCGCTATGTTAATGAGCAGCTTCAGGCCTCCAAACACGGATGAACCCAGCTGTCCGGAAACAAACGGCCTGAGCCGGAGGAGCTGGCGGGGTCCTCCCGGGACTGGCGCTCAGTCTGGGACTGTATGACACGTTTGGCTGGAGCTGCGCAGATAACGGTCCGAGCCAGAGCCGTGATTTCCCGCTACTTTACCGACAGTAACGGACACTCCCCCGCCCGGGGTTCGGGACAGCACACGCCGCTTTGTGTGGGTGTTACATGGAAAAGAAGCGCCATGGAGTTTCAGCGGAGCCTCTCCCAGAGCTCGGACACGGTGAGGTAACGGGAGCGGGACGGGGTTGCCTCACACACACACATCAGACAGCAGCAACCTGTTGCTGGTTGCCGGTGACGCAGAGAGGATGAGCGGGACTACCGGGCTGTTGCTGCTACTGCTCAGCGGCTGTGCTGCGTTCATCGTCTGCCGGTCCCTGAACGCACCCCAGGATGTGGGGAGTCTGCCTCGGGACGGACAGACGGACGGTACCGACAGTCTGACAGCCACGGTGACAGGTAACGATAACCGACTGATGGGGCCGACCGTCATTCAGGAATACACCCGGAGCTTAAAAAGTAACCATGTAATTCATCCAAAAATCACTGAATCTGGTCTTCTCAACCTATTTTTATTGAAAATAAAACAAAAAAATAAAGGAGCCTCTTTACATTTAATTAGAAATGTGTAAACAATAATCAGAGAAAGAATCATAAAGCTGAACATACTGTATCTCTACTTAAATTAACTTGGTAATATTAAAATTTTAAAATTATAATGAACATGTCCAAAACCCAAGAAGCCTGGGTAAAAAGAAAAATCACTGGGATTAAAATAAAAACATTAATTTAATTTTCAAAAATATTTTTAAATTTTATTTATTTATGTATGAAGTAGTTACTTAATCAAAGAACAGGAAACAATGAATGTAGCTGTGATAAGTAATATCATATAACTATACGGAGACTAGTCCTGGTTATGTGCAAAGTCGTCCTCCAAAATGTCAATTTTTACATCAGGAAAAACCAAAATTAGAGGTTTAAAAAATAATTAAATAAAAGAGAACAAATGTGCCCTACAGCCAGAAAATGTAGGAGAAATATTTCATTAAAAACATTTAATCAAGGATTGTTTCAGTTTTCAGCCTGTTCGTGTGTATTATTGTGTTTATAAATATGTTTCTGTGG